CTGTTCTAGCCATCTGAAATTTAATTTGTTTGGCATTTAACATACTCATGCCTCCTGTGAGAAACATAAGCATGAAAATGCAAAGTCCCAATTACATAAAAAAGGGTCTCATGGTTTCGGTTTCCCACCAACCAGCGTGGCTTTGCCAGCATTCATCCTCACTGTGACCCTGTCAAGACAGTGGGAGAGCAGCTTTGCCAACACTTTTTCTCACTGTGACCCTGTCAAGACAGTGAGTGGGGGATCRCCTTCACCAATCAGAGGCCCAATACTCTGGATATGATGGAGGGAGGTCTCTCCAAGAATGGGAATCATGGGTTTTTCTGTGCAGTTGAGTAAGTTCTAGCTTAATAAATATGTTTACCATGCCAACAATTAAGGAAAGCTGGGTTGCATTTCCTACTTGACAGAGCTTAGAGCTCTCAGGCATCACAAGTCATGTATGTAGTATTTGGGTGTCTCCATTTTTTAAGGCTTTGGACTGGTCTTTCTAATTCTCCTTAGTGTTGAATACTTGTTGTCTCTTAGAGYTTCAGTCAAAACCTCCAATTGAACATCATATGACACTGATCTCATTCTAATGAGCAAACTCTTTGACCCCCTTGTACCAGGGTCTCTTTAGCATAGAGGAATAGCAGGCACCTTGCTGACTGGGGTGAATCCTGCAGGTGGTGGTACTAGCTAGACACGGAATGTGGACATGCTTGTGGCCTGATTAACCCAGCTGCCAAGAGCCCACAGGGTGTCAGAGCCTGAGGAACTTGTCCCATCTGGAGTCTAAGATGTTCTACACAGAAATTCTCAGCCAGAGTTATCATCCCACCCTTGAGACAGGGAACCTGATTTTCCTCACCTGCTCACAAGGATGTGAGCAGGGCATAGACTGGCAGGGACTGAAGACAGGTCTCTAGAGGCTCAGCCAGAAGCAGGTGAGGTATGGCTGCCCCCTCAGCCCAACCTTCGAATAGCAGCTCARCGGGTCTGTGCAGTGTCCTCCACAGCCTGGCTACAGGGAAGGCTTGCTGTCCCAACACTTAAGTCAACGAAGCTTGCCTTCCCTGCCCTTTGAGCACTAAGACACTTGGCATCTGGGAACACCATGTATGGAGATCTTTGCAAATCCCTAGAAATGCAAATACCACTGGATATGGTGTCATTCCCTACCTAAGAACTGTCACTTTCTTAGGCCTTTKCCCCCTGTGCCAGGAAGTTGGCTTTCTCTGAGGGCCTGGTTGTTGGCTCAGTAGGGAGGTTCTGTAGAGATATGGGTCTGGGCAGCACACTAGCTTTGTCACTTTCCCAGTGACATGCCACACGTTGGCTTCCTCCATGTGACTCAGCTGCCAGCCTCAGGAGAATGACACACCATGGCAACCTTTGGGTTTGCCTTGAATTATCAAGTCATGAGGTCAAAGAACAAGAGCCACGGGTCAGACCATGRTACGTGTCTCTTGCCTTCTTGGACACCTGGGCTCTAGGCTCTTTCATGACATTGAGGCAAGCAGGTGGTGAACTCTCTCATCCTGAGGAATCTGTGACATCCTGAGGTCCTCCTTCAGGTCAGATGGAGGAATAGGAGAAATGGGGACATTTTAAAGGGAAGGCCATAGAGGACAGGTACAAGGATGGATCCCAGTTATGTTAAGGAACWCTGGGGGAGAGTCTATTAGCTCTTCCCAGGAGGAGACTCCGGTGCCCAAGCTCTGGCAGCTATTTGTGGAAGGAGAGATGGATGTCACCTGAAGCAATGTTAGACCTGCTGTCTATTCACAGGGGGATCAAACTGGTGCAGATCATTATGTGACAGTCATGCACAAAYGGCGTTCTTGTTTTCTGCTACTGTGAAAAGCTGTCCCAAAATATAGTGGCTTGAAACAACCACAGACATCTTCTGTTACCTGTCACAGCTCTGGGGTTGAGAAAGCTCATCCTAATGGTTTTTGCTCACAGGCTCTGAATAAGTGCAATTGGACAGTGGCCGAGGTTAGGGTCATCTCAGAGGCATCCTCACCCACATGTATGTCTGGTGGTTGGTGCTCACTGGTGGCTGAGACCTCAGCTGGGCGATGAACATGTGCCAACATCAACGTGTGGTCTCCCCTTGTGACCTCTTCTCTAGCCAAAGAGAGAGGTGGTAGAAGTTGCTTGGCCTGCTGTGACCCAGCCTCAGAAACCAGCAAGTATCACTGCCACCAGATTCTACCAGTCTGAGTGTTGCAAGCCCTACCTGCTTTCAGAGGGAAGCCACGGGGAACCCTCAGTGGGAAGAACATCAAAGGGACGTTGGAAGAATGATATGTAGAATGAGATGCATCTAAGAAGATAAAAATCGGTCATAGATGGGACAGTGGGTACCTTGGTCCCAAAAGGGCAAGAGTCACACAGAACAATCGTAACAAGCCGTGTGCACAGGATGGTGGAGGGGGCTTCAGTACAGGGGTCAGTGAAGGCTTCCCAAGTACGTCTGGGTGGGTTCTGAAGCAAGGAGAGGAATGCCCTGTGCAGAGATGGAGGCAGGCATGGTCCCATGGCCATGTGCAAGGGCACGGGCCTGAGAGACGGGAAGGGGCTGTTTTGCCAGAGCTAAAGAAGGGAGTGAAAGAAAAGTCAGAGATGGCAGGATGTTCAAGGTRGTCTATCACATCTGGACTTCATCCCTTAAGGACAGGCCCCTGGGAAGAARTGCAACTGGACAGTGGCCGGGACTAGGGTCATCATACTCACTCTGCCATCCCAGGAGGGACTAGACCAGAGGAGACYGTCAGAGAACTGGAGGGTTTGTTGCCCAGCCTTAGGAAGACAGGAGGAGGCGTGCTGAGAAGGGGAGGACGTGGACATGTCCAGTCATATTTGGTGACTGGGTGGGAAAGCATCAAGAAGGACTCAACCCAGAAAATTAAAATCTTATATAACTTATAATTTTCATAACTTATAATTTAATAGTGATGGTGATGTATATTGGAAGGTGTGTGTCCTAAAATTACTTAATGTTAAATTTAGATCATCTTTTATTCCAT